TAAAGAAATTATTTTTTCAAGCTCACCGAAGGGTACCCCCCACGACCGGCGTCGCAAAACATTTTAAAAAAATGCAATGAAAACCGATGGAATTAGGTGGCAGTCCGAAAAAATGATCGATATTTTCACTGGGGACCTATATTCTATGTATGTAGTTTTGCAAGGAATAGGGTCCCCTTCATGTATAATTATTAAATACGTAATTCCTTTTGGGTAGCAGCAATCCTGGATATCTGAAGTTCCTAAACTGGAACGTTTCAACAAAAAAACAGGTCCCCCGAAATGATCAATTTCTTTTTATATTGTATTAAAAAAATGAATTTTTCAAGCTCACCAAAGGGTACCCCCCACGAACGGTGTCGGAGAACTATGAAAAAAAACTATTTTGCAATGAAAACCAATGGAATTGGGTGGCATTCTAAAAAAAAAGATGAATATTTTCACTGGGGACCTATATTCTATGTATGTGTTTCTGCAAGGAATTGGGTCTCTTCCATGTAAAAGTAGAAGGGTATATATCTATATATATATATATATCATATACGTAATTCCCTTTGGGGAGTAGCACCCCTGGATGTCTGAAGTTCCTAAACTTGAACGTTTCAACAAGAAACAGGTCCTCCGAAATGATCAATTTCTTTTCATATTGTTTAAAAAAAAATGAGTTTTTCAAGCTCACCGAGGGGTGCCCCCCACGACCGGCGCCGTAGAACTATGAAAAAAACATATTTTGCAATGTAAACCAATGGAATTAGGTGGCATTCTGAAAAAAATGATGAATATTTTCACTGGGGACCTATATTCTATGTATGTAGTTTTGCAAGGAATAGGGTCCCCTTCATGTATAATTATTAAATACGTAATTCCTTTTGGGTAGCAGCAATCCTGGATATCTGAAGTTCCTAAACTGGAACGTTTCAACAAAAAAACAGGTCCCCCGAAATGATCAATTTCTTTTTATATTGTATTAAAAAAATGAATTTTTCAAGCTCACCAAAGGGTACCCCCCACGAACGGAGTCGGAGAACTATGAAAAAAAACTAGTTTGCAATGAAAACTACTGGAATTAGTTGGTGTTCCTAAAAAAATGGTTAACTATTTTCACTGGGGACCTATATTCTATGTATGTGTTTCTGCAAGGAATTTGGTCTCTTCCATGTAAAAGTATAAGGGTATATATCTATATATATCATATACGTAATTCCCTTTGGGGAGTAGCACCCCTGGATGTCTGAAGTTCCTAAACTAGAACGTTTCAACAAGAAACAGGTCCTCCGAAATGATCAATTACTTTTTATATTGCATGAAAAAAATGAGTTTTTCAAGCTCACCGACCGAAGGGTATCCCCCACGACCGGTGTCGGGGAACTATGACAAAAAACATATTTTTACAATGAAAGCCAATAAAATTAATGAATATGTTCACCGGGGACCTATATTCTATGTATGTAGTTCTGAAAGGAATTTGGTGTCGTTCATACATAAGGGTGTATATGATATACGTAATTCCCTTTGGGGAGTAGCAACTTTGGATATCTGAAGTTCCTAAACTGGAACGTTTCAACAAAAAAACAGGTCCCCCGAAATGATCAATTTCTTTTTATATTGCATTAAAGATTTTTTTTTTCAAGCTCACCGAAGGGTACCCCCCACGACCGGCGTCGTAAAACATTTTAAAAAAATGCAATGAAAACCAATGGAATTAGGTGGCAGTCCGTAAAAAAATGATGGATATTTTCACTGGGGACCTATATTCTATGTATGTAGTTTTGCAAGGAATAGGGTCCCCTTCATGTATAATTATTAAATACGTAATTCCTTTTGGGTAGCAGCAATCCTGGATATCTGAAGTGGTGTTCACAATTCCCTCAAAATATTCTATCTACCTGGTTTGAAACAATATTCTATCTATTTTTTGGTGTTGTTTGATTTTTGTATTTTTCAAAATTTCCCCAGACCCGTGTCCAAAACTGGCTAAAAATGACTTAACAAAGACGAAAAACGTGTAAAAACTGAGGGTTTTGAAAATATTCCAACTATTATTTTTTTTTTAAAAATCCTTTTTGAACATTTCCGATATTCTATCTACTTCAGGATGACTATATATATATATATTATGAAAAACACCAAAACCTACTGTCCTGTTTATATTCTTTTCTGTTCAGGAGATCTGTGAAGTATCTTCCAAATATTTCATAAAATGCAAGTAGCACAAATAAAACAATTAATCTGGCAAATCCCTCAAGTAATAAAATAGGGGGGCCCCAAACCCTTGTTTTTTCGTATTTAAAATTTAGCTTTGGGCCCCCCTATTTTGGTTACATCCCCAAATGTAACCTGAAGAGGTTTTCAAGTTCCTCCAAGTAGCAACACAAGTAAAATAAACAATGCAAGATCTACCAGTCTCAAGACATGCCCCACAAGTAACCTGCCAGGTTCTCAAGCAACACAACTAACCTGCCAGGTTCTCAAGTAACACAAGTAACCTGCAATGTTATGGAATAAAATTGTTCAAACATAATGCATAACTATATCCAAGGGCAAATGTAGCATTAGTATGCATTAGTGTTCACAATAATCAGGTTGATACTATTTCATGTCTCTACCTGTGCATGTCAACCCACTTCTGACTTATTTGGTTGTTCTAAGTTTCCTATTTTTGACTTTTGACTTGCTTGTGAGTTACTTGTGACTTACTCATGGGTTAGTTGTGACTAACTTGTGGGTTACTTGTGGTTTACTTATGGGTTACTTGTGACATACTTTTGGGTTGCTAGGTGCTTACTTGGGCTTACTTGGGACTTACTTGTCAAGTACTAGTGTTTTACCTGGGACTCACTTGGGACTTCCTTGGAACTTACTTGTGAAAGAGTTTTGTCTTACTATAGGGAGTCACTTGAGACTTATTTCGGACTCACTTATGACTTTATTGGGATTCTTTTGGAACTTTCGTGGGACACACTTATGAGTTACTTGTGGGTTAGTAGTGTGCTTTCATGTGGCTTGCTTGTGCTTCTTGTGGCTTACTTGTGACCTAGAAAAACAAATCAATCCTTCAAATTCTTAGTCCAAATTCAGCCTTTGCAATCAGCAGGCCATTTGTATAGAACCGCTACGATCATTGCAATCAGTACCTTCCAAGTCTTTACTTGGCTATCACAATCTACCTGGGAAAAAAGCGTTTGCAAGGATCAGGCTGTGGTTCAAATTTGATCCTGTGCTTCCCTACCGCGACATAGGTGACATGGATGACCTGGTGTGGAAGGAGGTGTAAAACCAACAGCAAAAACTTCAAAAAAAACAAAACCAATCAAAAAATATGATTTTATATATGTGAAGAACATGACAAACAATTAGGTATATACCTAAATCAATTTAGGTATATACCTAAATCACTTTAGGTATATACCTAAATCGTATATACCCATTTTTTCAATAGTAAATATTTACTAAGCTAAGTAAAAAAATACATAATTTTTTCGACCCAAATCCAAAAATTTACGTAAATTTTTGCTCACCTAAATTTTACTGTTTTAGGAGACTCAGGGGAACAGCTCAAACTCCGTCTCTACGTAGATGCGGATTTTGCTGGGGATCGTTTGGCCGGCAAATCGACTTCATGGTTTTTTTGATCCAAACACATTCTTTCCGTTGGCCAGGGTGTGCAAGAGACAAACCTCAACGTCTCTGTCCATCACTGAGTCTGAAGTCGTGTCCCTCGCACACTCGTTGTACCAGGAGGGTTTACCCGCTCTGCAACTTTGGGAGCTTTTATTAGGACGTAGTGTGATCTTGCGAGTTCTTGAGGATAATCAGGCCACTATCCTTGGCGTTAGGAAGGGCATATTCCCCAAAACTTAGACACATTACTAGGACCTGACCCATAAGATAAATTTATCCGGCCTGCCGGAAGTCTTCCACGATGACTCTGCTGAACTTGAGTATAGTACGACCGATGACCGCACGCCGGATATCTTTACGAAGGGACTGCCGCCGCAAAAATGGGGGCCAGCCCTGCGTCTTGCGTCTGTTAGGCATCCGCACTGACCACTAAAGCGAGCTCAGAACATCTACGGAAGGGGCCGCGCCATCGCGCCCCAAGTGGTTGCGATGTAGACGTCTCCAAGAGTGGGACTGGGTAGGGGGAGTAGAAATATTATGACCAATTACCCCCACATGTATAGTCTACATTAGTTCACCAAGCGGTAGTAGTTGTAGCTATCTTACCAACCTTCCGATTATATTGTACAGTCATCAAAACTCCAATGCGCCCTACAACTAGAAGCGTTAGTTGTAGGTATAGCCTAATGTAGAGGTAGGAAGTAGGATCCTGTATCCACCTGGGCCGGGTTCTACAGTAGCCTTCCGTACGCACATGGCTCAAGTGCCCGAGGAACAAAAGGGCAAGTGTTTTGTTTGATGCCAGGGTGTGACAAGCATTTGGGTGGTTGTTTCCCCCTTGTTTTGTTTTACCTCATAAAAGACGTGTTTTTTTTCTATGGGGATTTGAGGTGAATATACTTGGTTTTTAAAATCATCATTGCAGCAAGTTGTTTTTGCTATCTCAACCCTTTTAAAAGCCCCAACTTTGTAGTGATGGCCCCCCTAAATAAAGTGTTCCAATTTTTGGGATCTTGCTTAAAATCTAAAGAAATGGCAATATGTAATTCGTTGGCAATACTAAAGTGTAAAAAAAATCTCAATATGTACTCGTTTTCAAGCAGGCAATTTGTTTGGCAATGCTACAATACAAAAACAGTCCCAGTTTCCCGGCATGTATTTGTTTTCAATTATATTGGTAATTTGTTTGGCAATACTTAAATGCAACATGTTTCCAGGTTTTTGGTCACACATGAATTCATTTTCAGTTAGTTTATTTGTTTGGCAACACGCGGTGCATGTTGGGCATCAACTTTAGGTGGAGCTATGAAGGTTGGGGGTCCTTAATCAGATGTGGACATTACATGACATTACACGGTTTCCCTCTTATTCCTGGCCAGGCTGAAGATCTTGCAAAGCATGCAAGGTGAGACTGGGCGCAAACTGCCAGCCGTGCCGCGTTTCCCTGCAACACTTGTGCGAGATTTGGGTGCACCTCAGTTGGCTGCTTTGATCGGTCTTCACATCAAAGCGCTCCGCCTGTCCATACAGTTGGTGACATCTACAAGGCAGGAACACTGTTCCCCCTAGAGAGGTAGCCTTGGGGTTTCATTTTTGATCCAGGTGTCGAACATAAAACTGGAATGGGTAAACTGTCGGACATGGCAATCCTCCAGCCTTGGAACATTTAGGAAACCTGAAATGCTGAACATTGGAGCCCTAAAGCTACACTAGCTGCTATTTGGTGGACTAGAGTCTTATCATCTTGATCCCTCTGATCGTTTCTTGAGCTTTATTGTTTGTCAGATTGAGTGCATTTGATGAGTTCCCTGTTGATACAGTCACCACGTTCTGCAGTGTTCCCAACTTTGTTCACTCGCACATGGTTGCCAGCCATGCCAGACATCATGTCGTTCACCAGGTCCAAAGGACGAGGTGGCCTCCTTCCTGAAGAACATGCCTTCCCAGTGCTTGCTGCTTTGCACAGGCTGTGTGTCAAGGGATCTGCTGGTCGCTGCGCAGTGGTTTATGCTTTCCGATCTGTTTTCTTCACAGAGTGGCTGATCAGACAGATAGACGGAAGGCTGGATGAAGCTTTGCCTACTGGAAGCAGGTCATCACAGGTTCAGCCCTCTCTTCGCCATTTGGTCGCTATTCTGCATGCCTTAGTTTTGTCGGACCCATCTGGTGCTGCAGCTGAAAGGTTTGGAACACGTATTCTGGCATTGTCAAACAAGGCCATTCGTGTCCTTGAGCAGGCTGAATCTGTAGAAGGCGATGCCAGTGCAAGCTTATTGGAGTTTGCGCTTGACAGTGAGGGGGCTGAAGGTGGCCTGGGCAAAGCAGTGCAAATGGGAAGGCGAAGTGCAGATCTGGAAACCTTGAAGAATTTGAGGGAGCTGGCGGCTCAACTGCGGCCTTGGCGGCCAGAAGAGGAGTCAAACAGCCAAGGGCCCATGAAAGATGCAAAGCTGCTGTCAAGCTTGATTCTTGCAAAGGGTGCTCGTTCACTCAAAAGATCTGCAAATGAGGAAAGAGGCAGCAGACGTATGGCCTTGGTTTTGGGTGGACATGCAGGAGCTACAAACGGAGTTGAGGTACCAGAAGTGGATTTCAAAGCAAGTGAATCTGTGGAGCATGGCGACTTGCCAGCGGTGGCTGATGACCATGAACGTTTCCCTAGTGATGATTTGACAGAGTTGCCCCTTGTTGCTATTCGAGTCATTTGCCGGCGGGCAGCTGCAGGCTCAAAGGAAGCTTTGGGGATTGTGTTGCATGACGAAGAGATGAAATCAAGGGATGGACTGGCACAGATGGTGCCTTGGTTGATCCGATGTGCAGGTGCTTTGAATCTGAATTTGGAGGCTACGATTCTTCGTGAGGACAAGAAGCCTGTGGCAAGCATTTATGCTACACGCCGGGCCCATCTTCAGCTCTTAGAGGCAGTTCTCCCAACATGCGCCCATTTGCTGAGTGGTCTTCGGGATGCTGGTCTTGCACATTACCGGCATACGGAGCTCTGCCAGGCGCTGTTGCTTCTTGCGCAGCGGCTTACCTCTGGCCTTTCAGGATTGGCGCCTCGTGCCTCCTTCAATAGTGATCCTGAATACAGGCTCCTATGGCGGCATTGCTTGGTGTGGCTTTGCAGAGCGTTCCGCTTATGGTTCCAAGCATTCCCCAGAGCTGCTGGCGGGCAGCTTTTGCTTCCATTGCTTCGGCATGCACGCGTATTACCCACCAACTTCTCAGGAGGCTTGATGCTACTTGCCACCTGCGGGACGCTGAAACCCTTGCTGCCCGCAGCTGGCAGTGACTTCAGCTTGCAATTTTCCAACGCCCCAGCTGGCAGTGCAGATGGCATTTCACGGGTGGTCCTGCTGCCATCAGGCACGCGGACTGGCAATCATGCAGTTGTGTCCCTGCGTCCTGGTCAAAATGGCAGTGATGGTGCAGCACATGACATGCAAGGTCAATTTCGCAGCGAAGACTGGGAGGAAGGAAATTGCAACGGGACGCCAGAAACTTTGGATCCGCTTGTGCAGCTCCTCGCGCAGGAGCGTGAGGCTGCTACCGCGCAAGCCCTGGGACTGATCGAGCTGGTGAACTCACGCCGTGAGAGACTGTCTCTGGATGATGTCGGGGAGTTGTTAGCTTTGGTCGCAGAGTGTGCTCTTACTTCTGATGCCTTTCTTCATCTTTGCACAGCCAAGGTCATGGAGAAGCTGACAGCTGCGGGCCTGCCAATTCTGGACCTTATTCGACGACTAGCTGAAGCTGCTTTGAATGGGGTGGTGATGGAAACTGAAGGCCGAGAAGGAGCGGAGGACAACATCAGTGGAGGCGCAACTCGAGACACTCGAGATGCGAGGGCAGTCTCGCGCTTGCTGCTGCTGTTAGCTCACTTTGGAGCCCTGAGCAACACAGCTAGGCTCGCTTTGACAGAGCACTCTCTGGAGACATTGTGTCAGTCGGTGCTAGCGCATTCTCCAGCTACTTCTTTGCCGCCAATGGCTTTCTCACAGTCAATCAGGCTTTTGAGCCTGATGTTTACGTCTAATCCATCTGGGCACTCGGTGCCCAAGTTCAGGATGGTTGCAAAAGCCGTGAACCTCTTAATCAACAAAGCCTCAGATTCACATCACAGTGCATCAACTGTGTGTGCAGCCTTGGAGCTACTGATGGGCTTGTGCACTCCTCAGTGGTTATGCCTCAACCTGCTCTTCAGTGGTGCGTTGGAGAATCTGGAAGATGAAGAGGTGGAAGTGACGGTCAGTAGCACCTTCAGGCTTGAAAAGTGTATGCAGCGCTTGGCCCAAGAACTCTCAACGGCAAACCAGCAGTGTCATGCTGAAAAAGGCTCAGAGGATGAAACCGCAGCCCTCGAAGAGCTCAGTGGGTGGCTGCAAGCCACAGAATTGATGGTGTCTCTTCAGCGAGTCGTCGTAGAGAACTGCCCCACCTCTACGGTCTTCTTCCAAGTTGTGCTCGGGAGCGCTGGAGCATCGCCTAACAGCGTGTTCGAGGATTTGATGCAAATAGTGCAGGGCATCCCAGACAATGCAGCGCACATCTTGGAGCAAACTTCTCAGATTGTGCAGGCAGTTGGCACATTGCGAAAAGAGCTCCAGGCAAAGCCTACTGGGCCAATTCCCAATGCACTGCCAGCCCGGATTTTTGCACCTCCAAGCCGTGGCAAGAAGACAGAAGGCAGAGGCATGGACCCCAAAGAAGACAGAGGTCCGCACCAAGAGGACTGCGAAGTTGCAGTTGCAGAAGCTGTTTCACTTCTAGATGCTGCGGTGGATTTGGAGTCCAGTGTGGAGTGGGCCTCAGTGGTCGAGCTTGATTCCACAGAGACTGGTGATGACACCAAGATGGAATGGGAGTTTGATGCTGGAATGCTTCGGAAGAAACGCTTGGATTTCCTGGAGAAGTTCGAGTCAGACAGGAGAGCCAAGCGTTTGAAACAGCAGCAGGAGAAGCAGCAGGAAAAGCAACGCATGGAACGTGCTGAGGACAAAGCTGGCTCGGCAGGGGCCCCGCCTCAGTCCACCACAGACTTGGCACCTAGAGATGCTGGTCCCCGGCAAAATGAAAAGGTAGACAGAGCCGATAGAGCAGAAGCTCCCAAAAAGGGCTCAGATGGCAAAGTAAATCCTGCTGAGGCCTTGCACGGCTTTCTCCAGGATCATCCAGAGTTCATGCGGGTGCTGCAGAATCCCAAGAAGTGTCTTGCAGATCCACGGGTGAAGAAGATGTTCGTAGCAGAACTCCAGAACTACCCGGCTGTAAAATCATTCTTAGCATCCCAAGGGCTCCAGCTGTGATCGCAAAGTCGTGCCTATTAAAAAAGTGCTGTGCCATTTCAAAGCAGTGCTGTTGTTGCTACAAAGTATGAGAGTGAGTGAAGCAGGTCGATTGAATCAGAAGCATGAAAGTGCCCAGAGATGAAGCAGTCTTCGTCAGGCTCGTGCCGAAGAGATGTCCCAAGGAGGAAGCAGACACGAATGCCTGGAGCACAGGCCAGTTGGTCATTTGGTCATAGTGGGTCGGTTGAACATGGTTTAACTATGTTTAACTCCCATGTTGGTCGGAGCTGGGCAGAGTGCTCAAAAGTTCGCTGATTTTTGCTGCTCGTTGATTCTGAGCTTGCAGGTCCCCTTCGGCAATCACGGACATGTGACAAGAAGCAACCATACTGCCCGCCTAACACGGGTGGCAGGAGTGGGCATGAAAATGTAGTTGTAGTGAAAAGGTTGCAGCTGTTCTCAGTAGGCATGCTCCTTTAGGAGGCTTGTGCAGCACTTCCGCTTGTAGGGTCTTCATTGATAGCACTGGCTGATTTGGCTCAGAACTACGAGCTGAAAGCTTTGTGGTGTAGTCCTGTAGGCGGGGTGCAATTATGGTGTCTTTTGGCATAGGGCAAGCAAGTTCAATTTCTCGAAACTCTCAATATTTCTTTAGAAGCAGGACGTGTCTTGGCAGAGCCTTGATTCTTTTGGTGGCATGATGGGCGAAATAGGTCGAGAAACCATCAAAAAATACCATTAGAAGTCAAGCTGGCCAGCCATACAATGGCTTTGAACATCTTTGAACCACACTTTGGAAGCCGAATCTCATGTTCGGCTGTGCAGGCAAGATGTGCAGCTTTCTTGTCACGTCGTGGCTAATATCAAATTTAACGGCCGGGCTCTTGACAATTCCTGTGGCTTGTGGTGGGGCACAGCAAAAGTCTTGAGCGCAATGAGATAGGTCAAATATGGTCAAAATATGTCAAATTTAGCATTCAAGCATAGTAGGAACCAGTGATGGAGGACTCGTTCAACCTGTAGGCAGTGAACTTTTTTCTGTTGCCCCGTGGTCCTGATGGTCGGTGCCTCAAGTACCATGGGGCTGACCTGCGCCATTCACTTTTGCTTAAGATCCAACTCCATTTTAGTACCTGAGTCAGACTGTGAGGAAGACCAATGTCTCACAAACCCTGTATCAGATGCCATTTGATTCAAGTATCCCCACAAATCAATGTGCAGGCCTAGGCCTCCAGGCCAGCCACTGTCAGAGAGGGTTCTTGAAAGCTCTTCTGGTGCAGGAACTACCAGCATTGAGAGAGGGCCATTCACGTTTGTGCACAACTTACTGCACATGTGAGAGCCCAAGGGAAGATCAGCGCATCGGCGCCGTGCAAAGAGATGCAGAGTGAATCCGAGAGCCAGCAGAATTGTCATGTTTTGGGCTGAAAGCTTTGCAGGACCGGTGAGCGAGTGTGGCAGCCATTTGTGGATGGAGAGGAAAGCTTGTCAAGCCTGTGCGTATATTTGTGAAGTGTTAGAGCTGTATAGGCCCATTAGGCTGCACAGTCTACCCTTTCACGTCTCAGAGTTACTGTTCAAGTTCATGCAGGCAATCGCTATCTACAATGGCGAGATATACAACTCGCGTCAAGTGCCCTCCTGTGTCTTCATCAGAGCAGCGTTGTGGGACTACGCGCTGTCCAGGTACCTGCCGGATTTGGTGAGCGACACCAGTACCGATCAGATGGTGAGCCGTTCGCTCAAGGATCAATGCAAGCACTGTAAGCACTCAATGTTAGCCATATGTTAGCCATATATTGCTGTATTATTGCCGTATTATTGCTGTATTGCTCTCATATTCATGGCATGGCCACAGTTTTGGCTCGTGCCTAGTTTGCATTGCTCAGGTGCTTGCTACCATGCTATCGTCATCATGGTGCTCGATTTCCCCAGGTCCTTGATGGTGTCTGGGGCTCGTGAGCGTTCTGGGCCAAACTCTTTGAGCACACAGATGCACACAGTGAATGCTTGCTGCCCAGACCTTTAGGAATGGGCGATGGTGGTGGTGGATTTTGCAACACAAGTTGGGCCCTCATTTCAACGTTGGTGGCAGGCAATCCATGCAATCCAATGATTCATAATCTTGCATGGCGTACAAACATGTAAACAGAACATGGCTCTGCTGAGGAAGCAATCATAAGCACTGATGTGTTTGGCACAAAGCCTCTGTGGTGCCAGCCTTGGGGTTTTGGATGATTGTAATTTCGAAGAATTGATGTTTGTTGCTCTTACCTTCACCTTATATGAAGTTGATTATGTGGCCTACTGTAGGTGTGTACCACACTGTTACAGGCGGAGATGCGATGCATTTTGACTATGGTTTCTAGTTTTCCCACAGCCTATGGATGTTTGGGCTGAGGTACTCTTGGCATAGAGGCTTTCATGCTGCATCCTACAAATCTGTAGTGTGCTCAGTCTGCGGATCCAGCAGCCCAACCTCCAAGCATTGAACACCCAGGCACTCTTGAGGCTCGGACTCCATGAGAAGCAAATCCGAGCAGCTGCTCCCAACCAAGCCTGCGTCTGAGTGTACTTCAAGTAGGTTTGAGTTGCACTCAATTGTGTATATAATTATATATATATATATTATATATGATATATAAATCAATGAATACATACATACATAAGTAAGCCTCAGCTGAACCTACGGGATGGCGATGGAGAGAGATACATCAATAAAAAAATAACTAACTAAATAACTAAACTAACTAAATAAACAAATAAGTAATTAATATATATATATATACACACATGCAGTGTAGGTATAACACACACACATACACATATATCACTGTGTTTGGCGATTGCTCGATTTGCCTGTGTTGAGGTCCTCCATTTGAAATTCTCTTTTGCCATGGGCGCACAGCCTGCGCCCGGAGCTGTTCAAGTAGAGGAACTGGCTCGCTACAGCGTGCATGAGTTTGATACGCGCCAGTTCAAAACATCAACCGAAGACTGGCAAAGTGCGTTCAGACGAGCAGTCTGGAAACGAATAGCCACATCCAACCATCCAGTTTTTGTCGGCTTGAGTAGTGGCTACGACTCTGGAGCTTTGCATCTGGCACTGGAATCACAAGCCCCAGCACATGCAGCAAACTACTTTACTGTAGCGGCTGAAGAGCTCCCCCAACTGATCAAGCAGAGACTTTCTATGCACAACAAGTCGGTTGCCCGTGCTTTCCAAATCAGCCTTTCCCTCCAAGACTTCCAAGATGAAGTCACCTGGTTGCGGTCGTGGTCAGAGCCTTCCAAGTATGGCCGCTCGAATTGGGCCGGTGGATCTGTCCAAGAGGATGGTGCTGCGGCTGGGCTTTCTGCCATTTTCAGACTTTGCCGGAGAGCAGGCATACTTGTGTACATGTCAGGTGCTGGTGCTGATGAAATCATTTCAGACTATGGCTTTGCAGGCAAGAAGTTTTTTCCTCACAGCTCTTTTGGAGGTCTTTTTCCAGAGGACATGTCTGCATTCTTTCCATGGACATCGGTATTTTTGGGAACACAGCGTGACTACCTAATGAAAGAGGAAGTTGTCGCAGGCAGTCACGGGCTTGAGGCTAGATATCCTTTTTTGGATCGGACAGTAGTGCAGGAATTTTTATGGCTGTCTCCGGAGGTCAAGAATGAATTGTACAAGCGCCCGGTTCATGATTTTCTGACTTCAGCTGGCTATCCCTTTGATAAGGGGAACAAAGATGGCTTTGCTGCTGGGCGAAATTTAAAACTTTACCAGGGCAGCTCCATCTCCGTTCTGTACGACTCCATCGGGCCCAACGCGCACAGTGAACAAATCAGTGGCTCAGAAAGCTTGTCCTGTGTGCATGGGTCGAGCTCCAGGAGTGGCAGATGGCAAAGCGCTAGGTCTCAGATGGTCACTTTCCTGGCGACTCAGCCGGAGGAGGTGGAAATCACGAATCACCTGGGCGGATCGCTTCTCGCCTTCGCCGCGGAGCTTCAATCAGAGCATGCTCCAATCAGAGCCTGTTCCTTGGGACAGATTTGCTTGCAGCTTTTGATGCTTCTACTTGCTGAGCCCTCTGCCCGTGCCACCTATTTGCAGTTAGATGCAGATGAAATGCTGCAGATTCTGGGCACAGTATCCTTGCCATGGCCCAGCATTGTTGTGTCTGGCTGGCCACTGTTTGAATTGCTGCATCGTATTTCTCAAGATGGGGTGCCTGCGAAAAACGCCCCCCTGGAATTGAATCAGTGGCTACCACTTTCAGAGTGCGGAGGGAATAAAGATCAGGAGGAAGAATTAGATTCAGTGGTGGCCGTGGTTGCAGCCATGACGACACACAATGCACTGCAGGACTTGCACATGTTACGAGCCGTCCAGCTACGCCTTGCTGCTTTCTGGGAGTCACAAAACGCTGATGGCAAGCTCCAGAAGATGCTGAAGAGCGCTCGAATGTGTGAGGTTTTTGCAGCTCTGGCGCTCCTTAGTCAACCATACTACCGTGTGAATTTGGCAGATGCTTGGCACCTGGCTGCCTAGGGGAGATTCTCTTGAGAGCACGAGTTGGAGTAAGTCCATGGCAGTCTTGAGGACGGCGCACGGAGGCCGGACGTCTTGACGGCATGACCGCATGACCGCAGACGCACAATACTGTTGACCAGGCCTCGGATGTTGTGCTGCAAGCTGTGGGAAGTGTGCTTAGCCTCCTTGCACATGTCACATAACAGTCTACTTGCTCTGCAGGCTTAGCACTTGGCACATGAAGCCACACACACACACACGCATATGCATATACATAAGGCATACACAAGAGTATACATAAACATGTGCGTCTGTATGTATATATAGGTAGATGGACATATACACACATATATTTGCATGCACATCTGCACGATTGTACATGTACATATGCACATTCATATGCGCGTCCATATGCACACACACACACATTTACACTGACACACTCACATAATATCAATACATGTTCACATCCATATATGCACACGTTGCAACATGACGTATATACATACAGTCATACAGTCATACAGTCATACCGTCATACATACGTACGTACGTACGCACGTACATGCCTGCCTACCTGCATGCATGCATGCATGCATCCATGCATCCATGCATCGATGCATACATGCATAATTGCATAAATTGCATGAATTGCATGAATGCATACATGCATACACACATACACAAGTTCATACTTTCAATTTATACATTCATACGCATACATGCATGCATGCACAGACAGACAGACAGACTCACGGACGGACGGACGGACAGACAGACAGACGGACGGACGGACGGATGGATGGATGGATGCGTGGATGGAACCAGCAAAAAAAACAGAAACAGCGGGAGGGAGGGAGGGAGGGAGAGAGAGAGAGAGAGAGACAGTGAAAGAGAGAGAGAGAGAGAGAGAGAACGAGAGAAAGAGAGAACGAGAGAAAGGGAAAAAGAGAGACAGAGAGAAAGAGAGAAAGACAGACAGACAGAAAGACAGAAAGACGGAAAGATAGAAAGACAGACAGAAAGACAGAAAGACAGACAGACAGAAAGACAGAAAGACAGAAAGAAACACAGACAGAAAGAAAGAAAAGAAAAGACACGAAAAGAAAATAACATAGAAAAGCAAATGAAAGAAAAGAAAAAACAAGAAAACATGACCGAAAAGAAGAGAAAGAAAGAACGAAAGAATGAATGAACGAAAGAAAGACAGAAAGAAGGAGAGAAAGAAGAATGGGAGATACAAGTCCGAGAGAAGGGAGCAGAAGAGTGAATGCTAGGAGAAATACCTTGCAAGAGGGGATAAAGAACAGGCACCATTAACATAGGCTTGCAAAAAATGTGGCAGACCACAAGATGAAAACAGAAACGTCGAGGTAAAGTTAAGCATAGGCAGATGTAAATGCAGACTGCAGAGGTGGTTGACAATGATGGTGTGAAAGACGGCAGGCTCCTGAACTTCGACGTCAACGCGTACCGGAGGACACTGTGTCGGCAGTTAGAGCCTCAGAAGGCAACTCTTTTTCAGCATCACTCTACCGCTGACAATATTGATCAATAATATTGGCCTTTTTCGGTTCCATTTTTAGGAGCAGATGTTTCAAATGCACGCCAGCCAATGAGATCCATGTGAGCACTCTTTCTCTCTCTCTCTCTCTCTTGCCCATATCTATTTCTCTCTCTTGCTTTTGGCTCCAGGGACGCTACATTAAGTCAAGGCCCAAATTCATAGAGAGCACCGTGGCCTGATGGTCACTTGGTGGCTCTTTTTGATATGTCCATGTCATTTTTGCGCTAGCCATCAGGCCGATGCTTCCCTTCACATGGAAGTGAGTGCTGCAGGTGAAGCTATGCAGCACCTGGCGCATTCCAATAGATTCCTTCGAAAAGAAGGATCTCATGGAAATCTGGGTGGGAACTTAGTGCCTGCCTCGATTGATTCTCCGGCTTTAGGTAGTCCCAGCTTGCAGGCCAAAATCCACCGAAAGATTCAGGAAGCTGCCCTAGGCAATGCTCCACTCACCGAACAGGCTACACAGGAGGCTGCGCAGCAGATTGCCCAGGCCAATATGCCGGCATTGGGCAGCTTGGGCTTGTCTTCAGGCAAGGAGACATCCACAACAACGCCTACTGGGCCTACGGGCACAGAAGAAGTGGGTTCTGAGTCTGATGAGGAGAGAGCCGGTACTGTTACAGGAGAGCCTGTAGATGAAGAGGCGACAGCGGAGGCACCAGAAGATGATGGCGAGGTATCCGCAACGGTAGAACCTGCGAGTGATGATTTCATATCATCATCGCAAGAAGCACAACGGAGCTCTAGTATCCCAGAGGAAGAGATGGACGCTATCTCAACCACTGAGGCTGAAGATGAAACCACTACTGAATTGGACACAGAAGAGGTTGAAGCGAGCACAACGTTTGAAGATGCTGAGGAAGAAGTCACAACGTCTCAAGACATTGAAGAAGCAGCTGATACTGAATCAGCACCGGAGCAGGGAGAGGAGAAGCAAGACAGAAAGACAACAACAGCAAAGAAAAGGAGAAAGAAGAACGACAGCAGCAGAAAAGAAACTCGTCAAAACAAGCAACGGCAAAGTACGAAGACAGCCTCTACCACTACTGGAGCCCCAGAAGCCACTAGGACAAGCACAGGGCCAAATGCTAAGACGACTTCTACCACTGCCACCGAGGCTGCAGGATCTACAACAAAGCCAGTCGGGTCTGAGTCGACCACAAGGTCAAGCGGGCAAATTACACACTCCTCTAGTTTCTCGATGTCTTCCACAAGTAGCGAGCCACGCCAAGGAGAGTCTTCACAGTCTACAGCCAAACCAACTACACTTTCGACCACGGGCATCACCTCGCTGAGTACGAGCTTGTCAGTCACTGAAGCCGGAGATCAGACAACAGTTGTCAGCACAAGAACGGCCTCCGTTTCAACCACCTCAGGCACTTCAGGGGAAGATGCTGAAACCACTGCCAAACAGGCCCAACCAGTGGTTTCAACCAGCCTCGAGAGCAATAATGGCAACACCACTTTGCCAGCAACATCGTCAGTTAGCAGGCAGGCAGATTCTTCAACAAGCACATTTGCAAACACTGGAGCACCAACATCTGCCACAGCAGCATCAAGTGGAACTACTTCAGCAACAGAAACGACCAAGGCAACAAGCAGAACCATCACTAAACCGACAAGTACATCAACGACAACCTCAACAACTACGACTCTCACGACCACCACGTTCACAACCACGACAACAACGGCAACAACGACAACTACATCAACCACAACAACGACTATCACAACGACATCGCCGCCTTCCACAACAACCGACCGTGTTCTTCCAGCCTGTGAAGGGCCAGCCTTGGTTTGTGATCCTGCGGTGGCAGATCCCTGCAAGTACCAGACCCCATGTGCAGCCCTAAGCACAACCAAAGCAGGTTTGATTGCTCTTAGTTACCCTCTGAACATTCTGAACATTTTTGAGCCATTCGAGTGCTTTGCGCAGCTGTCGATGTATTGTTGCCCAGCCTGTCGCGACGACACGTTTGGTAGGTGTTGGCATTGCAGCAATGATGTTCCACATATTTGTGCTTCCACGGATGTCACCAGCATGCTGCTTAGGCACCGGCTACCAGATGTGCCAGCAGGGCGTCTTCAAACCATGTATTGACTTCACCGACGGAGACCAGAGTGGATGTGAGCTCTCTCAGAACTTTAAAGCACGTGTAGATAGGAGTTTGGGAGTGGTATCTTTGCAGTGTTGTGATGTTGTGATTTGCTTAGAGCAAGTAAGCTGCATACCTCAGACTTGGAAGCATTATGTACTTTTTTGGTTCTGTTGCGAGCTGTCATGTGCATGGATGGTCCAGGATGTATGTGATGGGACGAAGCTACACCCGCTTCTGCTTGCAAGGCTGTTTGCCGGACTGCCGGATACGTTGCCTCGACGTTAAGCAACTTGCCTCAAGCCAAACCAGTGTCTGCCAGTGTTTGCATCTGCTGCGGTTCTTCAATGTTTAGGTTTGAAGGCAAAGTTTGCAATCCATGAGAGTAAGCCTACGTCTACGTGAAACGACTGGCTTGGGCCTAGAGACACTAGGGTAGTAGAGTCCAATAATAAAACTGGAATAAAGTCAACGTGCTAACACTGAGGGCAATGAACGACTGAGATTGGCGAGATCCGAGCCGGAGTGAATAATGAGCCGTTCTGCAAGTAGGATAAGTAGGTCTTGATGCTTGGTCCCTGCAGGCACTTCAGTCATAGCCCTCTCAACCAAGACCAGGTCGATGCCTTCGCAGAATATGATTATCGATCCAGATCAGATTAGCTCAGATTCTGTCGATATTGCACACCGTGTTTTTGCACTTTTTCGCGTGATGTTATATTCCGAAAAAAAAGATCCAAATATATCTTCCAAGTTTTTTCTTTCAAACACCTCGGTTTCCACGCACCTCAGTGGCCGGGGGGTATTCTCGTTTGTTCCTTCGCCACTGCAGCCGCAAGCTTCCCAATCTTCCCAGGTTTCAGAATTCCAAAAGCTGGGAGCGATAAAGCATGAGAGTTGTTATTATTTGTTATTGACATAGCCTATGCAAGCTAGGTCGTTAGGTACTAGGTTCATCCGGGTTTCACGGCAGGGAGCAGCAGCTACCTGAGTTCGCTGTCGGGTGCCTTCTGGGGGCATGCGAGCCGCAGCACTATACAGAATACACTCAGAATACAACAGATTCAAGTCTTATGAAAGGATTCTTTATGTCGAAGGATGCACCCCCAAAATGTCACAGGTTCAACTCCCATACCCCACATTGTCTAAACAACAATTAAACAGATTGGGGAAGCCCTTCATCACAGCTATGCAGCTATGCCTTGCTGCTTTCTTTTGCACCAGTATGATCCGGGTTGCAATTTTAGCTACAACAGGTAAGCTTTGTGTCCACTGTATATAAAGGGTTTATTGGTCAATTCTTAGGGAAAACTGAGGCCTTGGGACATTGCATTTTGTCGTCCATGAGGTTTTTATGACATATTTTTCCGAAAATGGCTGAAGGTGGAAATTCATATTGTAGCTGCTAGATTTTGCATCATTGGAGGGCATTGGAAACAAACCAAGCATTTTGTAGCAGAAAAGTGGTTTCATAATAACACATTTTTTAGCAACCCACATGAGTGGGATCACGAATCAGGAGGGTGCATATTATATTTTTTGTCAAGTCATTTTCTGAATTTCTAGCACTTGGATCCTCAAAATAATTTCCTCTACAGGGCAAGCGTGGGTCCCTTATGAAGAGAACAAACACATGTTTTTATAAGACATTTAGGTGTTGAACCAGGACATTGTACAGGGAGGGGATGTTGAGGGCTTGTTGGTAAGTTTGGTGCTCGTTACAATATATTATATTTATATTTATACTTCACCCTTCCTGGACATATATTTTTTGCAATTGCACATTTTTTAGAGAAATCTTGTTGGAACATGTTACGCTGGTAGCCATGAAAACGCTGAGCTTGGGCCCCTTAGAAACCTGGCACTTTATGGGTCTGAGTTTCCACTACGAATCAATGGCTGAGCGATGCCAGAGAACAATCATGGTTTTGTCAACCCATGTCAACCCCAAAATTTCTTGTGGAAACAGGAAGATAATATAAGAGAATGACTTGCAAGAAACCAGGGGCCAAAATAGCAAACCCAAAAATGCAGGGGTTTTCACCTTTTTGCCCATTCCAGCCAGGCTGTGCAATCATTTTGTAGTATTCCTGTTGTGTCGCTCCATTTTGTAGTTTGGTTTCTTGAAAGTCTCCTCACAAGATTGGGGCCAAGATTGGGACACCATCTACGTAGGACAAGTGACTTTTTGTTTGCTAGAGCTTTTTGGCTTGATAGACCAGTCTTGCTACGCACTGGTCAGCGCTATAAATCCAGAGTAAGTGTCAGCTGTCATGAAGACGCTCACCTGCTACAGAATGCTTTGTGTCATCCCATGATTTCTTGGCATGGGGACACACATGAGACTACAAAATGTGTTTCAAAAAAAGTTATCACAGAAAAACGCATGATCATTCCATAAACTTATGATGCAAAGTTTTCTGCTATTTCTATAAAAGTTGAAAATATTTATTTTAGGAAAAAAATAGGAAAAAAATAGGAATCAAAAATAGGAAAAAAAGAGGACGCAAAAACACACTTGACACAGGACTACAAAGCACTTCCCAATATATTTAGTTTCCTATTTTTTCCTATGTTTTTCCTATTTGCATTTTTGGGCCCTATTTTTTCTTATTTTTGAATCCTATTTCCTAATTTTTCCTATTTTTCCTATTTCTGGACATCTGCTTCCAGCACCATACCTTTTTTTTTCCTATTTTTCCCTATTTTTCCTATGTTTTTCTTATTTTTTCCTTCTTTTAAATTCGGCTCCCAAAACCGTCAAAAAACGTAAAAAACCTCGGAAAAATAGGAAAAATAAGAAAAAAAGGGAAAACATAGGAAAAAATTAGAAAAATAGGAGAAAAAAAAAGAAATAATAGGAAATAGCTAGCAGCACAGGACTACAAAGCACTTCCCAATTTGTTTGTTTTCCTATTTTTCCTATTTTTCCTATTTGTTTCCTATTTGCATTTTTGGGCCCTATTTTTTTCCTATTTTTGAATCCGATTTTTTTCCTATTTTTTCCTATTTCTGAACATCTGCTTCCAGCACCATACCTTTTTTTTTTCTATTTTTTTCCTATTTTTTTCTTATTTTTTTCCTATTTTTTCCTTCTTTTGAATTCGGGTCCCAAAACTATCAAAAAACGTAAAAAACCTCGAAAAAAATAGGAAAATAATAGGAAAAAAATAAGAAAAATAGGAAAAACATACGAAACACATAGGAACAAAATAGGAAAATAATAGGGAAAAATAGGAAATAGCTAACAGCCCATTTTTAGAAAATTAGGAAACAAATAGGAAAAAATAGGAAACAAATAGAATTCAAAAATAGGAAAAAAATAGGGGTGGGGGAGAGGAGGGGGAGGAAGCGGGGGGAGGAGGAAAGGGGTGTGGGAGCGCCACGCTTATTGCTGAATTTGGGACGCGCCGAACGTCACGCAGTTCACAAGTTATTGTTCAATGTCTGCTTTCGGTTCCTTTCCTTTTCCAATTGCGAACGCAGCAGCAGCAATTGCATTTACTTACATACACGCATGGGACATATCCAAACATTTACATGTTTAGATGTAACACCATACGCAGGTTGGCAGTGGACCCACATATATCCACAGTGACATTCCTCATAAAATGTGGAAGGCTCTGCTTGTGTTTTGTGTTGGTGTTGTTCCCAAATGTGAAGCTGTGGTTCATCTTGGTTTGGCAGTCCTTTTTTTTCCTATTTGATTTCTGGAACCCTATTTTTTTCTTATTTCTGAATCCTATGTTTTTCTTATTTTTTTTCCAAAAAATAAATATTTATAGAACGAATAGAAATAGCAACATCCCAACATCATAACCATAAACGAATCATTTTGTAGCGGCTACGTTGGGATATATCGCAGATTTGCGCCTTGCATTTTGTAGCGATTTTTTTGAGACCCGGAACTTTATTTTGTAGAGTTTGATCCTGATGATCCTGTGACCCCGTGGATTGTAGCCACAACCACCCTGCACAAGGCCTCCCCCTAAATTCCAACCCGGATCCAGTGTGTACCTTTGCATGCCTATTCTCTATCACATACCCATTTGACACAGCACTCAGACAATTTCACAGAGCTACATGCCCCATCTCTTCCAGCAAGTATGCGCATCCTTCGCTTTCGAGCTGTTGCTTGGAACTTCTTGTAGCAGAAAGCTGCACCCTATTCTTCCTCCTACTTTCACAGCTACACACCTCTTGTTCTTCTGTGCTTGCTCTCACGTATAAATAATATGAAGTGCGTTCACTAGCCCTCTGAACCCACGGTGGTCTTTGTTCAAAGGAGGTGACCTGCCCAAGTCAGGGACCAAGCAAGCGCGCGATTTCGTTTCACTCGTACATGGAGAAAGGAGCCCGCAAAGACAAAGTTTGTACGTCACAAATTGCTGAGTGAGAGCAGTTTGCCAAGTCTTTTCAGAACGTTGGAGCTGGCAAGCATTTTGTTGTTGGAATTCTGCCTTGGACCAGACGGAGTCAAATTCAGGCTCCACCTGATTGCAGCTCTTGGTGAAGTCTCCGATGCCCGGCTCTTGAACATGTAGACTTCGACCAAGACAAGACTATGTCTTGAATGTTGTATAACACACCAAGGGACTGGGAGGCAGCCGAGGCACGCGTCGTCCCTTTTTTGAATTTCAAAAAATAGGACAAACACATGCCCAAACTATCCATTGCGCCCTTTGGTTCCTTCAAGTTCCTGTCCTGCCTGTCTAGCTGCCTGTGCTTGGAATCTAGTCGTGTCTTTCAATGGAATATGAGTGAACGTAAGTCTGTGCCAGCAACCCCCCAGCAATAACAGGGGATGAGTCATCCCATGAAAGGGCATGACTTATAAAGCTACGTCGTAGCTACGTTTTAGCGCAACGCAGAGTTGCCCATGCCAGTGTCATTGACAGGAAAATCAAATTTCGTCACTTCTTGGGATCTGGCAGGTGCCTTCCTCCCTTACATTTTTTCTACATTCCCAGTAGCAGGCAGTCCCCAGAATATGCGATTGACATTTGCCATATTTGCCTGAGCTGTGCCAACATTCTCTTTATAGAACCTGAGGCGAGGGCCCAGCGACAATGCTGCCAGTTTTTGGTGTGACTGCTCGCGATCTCGACGAAGCCAAAGTGCCGCAACGCTATAAATGCCAATTCCTAGCGGAAAAGGATCCTAGAACTATATTATCTATCTATCTATCTACCTATCTATCTATCTATCTATCGATCTATCTATCTATCTATCTATCTTTCTTATCTATCTCTCTCTCTATCTCTCTATCTCTCTATCTATCTATCTATCCATCCATCTATCTATCTATCTATCAATCTATCTATCTATCTGTCTGTCTGTCTATCTATCTATCTATCTATCTATCTATCTATCTATCCCTTCCGACCCGCCAAAAACATTGGTATTTACGATGTTTTTTGCTCCGTGAGTTGCAAAAACACGCGAAAACACCTCTTATTTGACGATTCTCGGCCGCTACGGAACCGAGAAAAAGCGCTGCAGGGGTAACACCAACACAAACACCAACACCACCACCACCACCACCACCAACAACAACAACAACAGCAAGAACAACATCATCATCATCATCAACAACAACAACAACCACAACCAACAACAACCAACAACAAACAACAACACGCAACAACTCACAACAACACACA